TTGTTAACTAAGGCCGAAATTCTATCAGCAACAAGAAACTCAAAGATTAAGTTTTCTTTCACCCAAGACTATTTTGTACTATTTCAGGAGGAAAGTATGTTTGAACATGCATTAAAGTCTCACTACACTTCTGGAGTGATGTAAACACCCTCTTTAAGGACCTTTTTTGCTACCAGAGTGCTCTTAGACTGAACAAGAGCCAGGGATCATTGTTTCCAACTTCTGGCATTCCCTACCTTGAACTTTCAAAGGTTTCTCCTTTGAAGGGTTCCCCCCCTTTCTCCTTTAATTTTCATCTTACTAAACACTCATGGGTTTGCCATTCTGGTTCTTAAAATTAACTGTATTACACTCACCCTTGCAGAGTGCTTTTGATAGTGTAGAAACAGGGAGTTTAATAGTATGGGGACACATCAACTCCAGGGCTTGTGATGTGTAAGAATTGGGTTCAAAACCTGTTAGAAACTGGGTCATTTTCTATTTGTCTGTAGATGCCAATTAGCAATGTCATTAATCCACTGCCTAGGAGAAGTGCATGATTAAAATAGACAGTGTCACTGACCACTGACAGGACAATATGCACAAGGCTGTGCTGTAGCTGCCTGTCATTGTGCTGCTGTTTTCCAAAGGGAAGTAACAATTTTATAATTTCTCTGCATCTGGATGTAAAGACAGGCAACATCATCCAAGCTTTGAATGCTGCTTTGTGTTGTTGCCTGGACAGGGAGCCTGGAGCAGACCCTGGGCTTGCTGGTGCCCCCCTGGCAGCCACTCCCTGGCCCCTGTGCTTAGGGAACACGTGTCTGTGAGTGTCCTTCGCTGTGCTCACCCACAGAGCCATCCAAGGCTCCTCGGGGGCGGCAGGTTTGGGTTTTGTCTCCTCAAGGATCAATGTCTGAGGCTGGGCCAAAGCTTTGTTTGCTGCTGGTGGGGGAAGAGGTGTGGGAGGCCTTGAGGGGGCCGGCTTGACTTGCTGCTGCTCTGGGGGGCAGCAGGAAGGGGCTGGTGGTGCATGGCTGCTGCCAGGAAAGGCCAGCCTCCAGCTGGAGACCACAAACCCCAGTGACAGTGGCCAGCCTGCCTTTCCAAGGCCACAGATAAAATAAGCATTGACCTAGGACAGCAGACAGTGGAGGAGACAGAGGGGTACAGTCCTGCCTTCTCCCTGGTGTGTGACAGGAGGAATTCTGTTTCTTACTGGGAATTGCACTCTTCTTCCTTGCTTAAGAAGTCCAGCGCTTTATTTTACTACCTGAGTATCAAATCTCTCAGCAAGACAGGAAGTTTCTTTTTCCCCCATCTCACTTTTGAGGGGAAAAATTTCCATGACAGAGGATGAAATACCAGGAATGTTTTTTTTAGGTGGACCTTCCAGCTTCTGGTTTGTAGCCACACTAATTTGTGGGTGAAGGAAATATTTTTGTACTAAAAAGTTCCCAGGAAACTGTTTAACAGGGAATTGGAGTTTAATTGGCACTTATGAGACATTAACAATAATTGTATTCAGTTTGGCCACTCAGGATAAAGTGTGATTCAGGATCAGCTGATTTATGTGCTGCACAAAAAGAAAGAAAAAAACCCTAACCCACCAAACCAAACAAAAAAAAAAGAAAAATGAAAAAGAAGGCAACATTCGTGTGTGGACTGGCGAGTATGTGCCATTAGCTTCATATTCCCAAGTAGAAGCTTTTGTGGTGCTTGTCATCTGTTTTTCCCCACAAGGTGTTTTGCCAGACTGGAAAAAGTAGAAGGAACGTATATTAGCTGGAGGGAAATGGTTTGACTTCAAGTTCATGCTTTTGCAGTGAGCTGGATTACAGTTTTATCCCTGCTATCTCTTTTGCTGTCATTCTTTTTTTTTTAGGAATGTCCCAAAAACTTTAAAAAACCCTAACAAAATCCATTTACTTATTTATGCTTTTATCAAGCTTGTGAACAAGAAAGGCAAGGGAACACGGGGTGAAATTTGATGTGGGGCCTTGTGTGTGATGCAGGATAGCCATCAACATCCCTCGAACATTTATTTTTCCTTTGCAGCAGAGTTCATTGTGAAAACAAAGACAGTGCCACTAATAAATGATTGCAGCTTCCGAGGCTGGCTGAGAACAGAGAAAACAAACTATATGCAATTGAAGTGCCTGTTTGTTTGCAAGCTGCCTAATATATACAGCCAAATGATGTAAGGCAGAGGAGATGACCTGATTAGCAAAGCCCTCGCAACGAGCCGAGGAGATCCCTGCTCCCCTCCTTGGAGACCTGGTCCCAGCTGGAGGAAACCTTTCCCCAGCTACCACAGGGTTTCTGAAAATGGCAGTGGCAATGCTCTGTGTGCATGAAGGTGAGGGAAGGAGGAGGAACAAGCAGCCTGCACAGCTCATGGAATAGCTGGGATATTTTGAAGGATGCAGCTTGAATTCCTTGGGCTTTGTGGGGAGGCTGTGCTTCAGCAAATGGCTCATGCTGCTTGGTTGTGCTGCTCATCCTGTTGCATGAAAGCGTCGTTCAGCAGAAAGAAGTGCTAGGGGAAGCAAGGTAAAGTAAGTGGTCTTCCCATTTGTAAACTCTCCCAGCCTTGTTCTCGTGTGTGCTGAGCAGGCAGAGCTCCACAGCTGTGAATGGGAAGTTGTGGTGCTCAGCACTAAGTGCACTCAAGTGTTTATTACTCCGAATCAGAAAAACAGACAAAAATTTATATATGTAAGAAAACATGCAAGATCTAAGACTTATGAGTACATGTAAATATGAACAGTTGGGATGTGGCTTTTGGATATTTTGTGCCAGGACAGTGTGCAGGCTCGTGGCAGCAACCTGGGCTTTTAGATGAGGAGCCCAGGGCACTATTTCTGGCTCTGCTGTAGCTACTTGTGTGGCCGAGTGTATGAAACGCTGCTCCTAAAGCTAGCGAACCGTTTCTTTGGGCTTCATTCTCAGGCTTGCTGAATGCTCCAAAAGACTGCTATTATTAGAGGGAACTGCCATTCCTTCCCTCTGAAAGTGGGCTGTCATAAATCACAGTGTGTGCTTTCCATGGGGAGGTGGGTCTGGGACCTCAGCTCTCTCCCTGACAGCCTGACCCAGAGCTCCTGGTCTTCCTCCTTTCTGCTCAAAAAGGATGGATCCTCCCAGGCAGAGGGCTGTTGGCTGTGCCACTTGGGCTTGGCACCAGGGCAGGATGGCTTCCCATGGCTTCTCTTGCTGCCATGGTGGGGCCAGTCCTCTCCTGCTGCCCCATGCCAATCGCCTCCTCTTGTCCTGATTCACTGCTTGCGGCCACATCCTAGCTGATCTCTCAGTTTGTTTTGACCCTGACCTCTCAATTTGGGCTGGTTTTTACTCTTTTAAGAACAATAAATGTATCTCTGTGGCAACAAAAAAAAATTAATTCCCTTCTCTAAGTGATGCACTCAAATATTTTGTAGTTACAAAAGACCATTTGGATGGCGGTGCCTGTGCTGATACTGGTCTGCTGTGATCTGATGCAGCAGTGTCCTTGCTTTGGATGGGCTTTGTCATAACAGTACTTTCTTTTTATTTCTTAGCTCCCATTAGTGCCTTGATGAGTAGTGGAAGATGTTTCAACAGTTTTGTGATTAAGAAGAATCATCTTACCATTGCTTGGTCTCTGGTTCCTTTACTCTGTTCATTATGCTTTCCCTGGTAGGAACAGCAGTGATTTAGAATTGCAGTGTCAACATCAGTCTCTGAGCCCTGTGTTTTCTGGGAAGGGGAAAAAGGGAAGATGAAGGAGGAACTCTAAATAATAGGTTTTTTTTCTTCTGACATTTCCAGGCCAGCTGTTTGAGACTGTGATGCCTCAGAGTGTTCACTTATAATTCTGTCATTGGTTCATGTATGGGACATGTGGCCAGAGTTTGGTGACGCTGGGCAGTGCCAGGGCACAGATTTGTGCTCCAGCTCTGCTGCTGTCACCAGCGCTCGTGCCAATGGCCTTAGTACAGAGGTCAAAGACTGCTTAGATATGAAGGCTGAATCACCTCCTTGTTAAACCCCTCAGCAGGATCAAGGCTTAGGGAAGCAGACACGTGGGCTTGCCTTCTGGCTGACACTGTGGATGGAGGCTCTGACTTTGGGACAGGCCTTTTGGCAGCTTTGACCAACTCTTGAGGCATTGAAATGGGGGCATTTGGTGATTAAAACACCCCTGCACTGACACCCCTTTGTGAAAAAACTCGGTACATTTGTTTCCTTTAAAGGCTTGCTGATCCCACAAGCTCTCAGTGGTTAGAGGAGGTTTATCCTGTCACCTGAGGATCACAGAAATCAGCAGTGAGCCTGCCAGTCTCACAAGACAGATGTGAAAGTCTTCAACTGCACGTATTTCGCTTGCAAATATAAATAATCCAGCAGTGTAGGCTTTGCTGCAGCCCTGTTTGCCTTGGCAGTGTCCCATTGACATGAATCAGAAGGTGGGAGCAAAAAAGCACTGGAGGCTCATCCTGAGACTGGTCTCCCCTCCATCAGGGAACCTGTCCGTGCAGGCAGGGTGATTGGGAGATTACTGGCACAGCCCACAAGCCTGGCTTCACTAGATCTTTGCATTTGGAACAGTCCTGCTTTGTTTCCTTGTGCTGTGCCTTTGGGAACCTTGCCTCTCAGGGCACTGGGCAGGAGAGGCCTGCAAGGAGCAGCTCTGGGTTTGTCTCCTTGAGAAGAAGGCAACTCTGGTGGTTCAAGTTGAGAAGCAGGAGGTCAGTTCTTAATCCTGCTGCATCCCTGCAATTTTTGGCAGGTGTCTGGGTCACACTGTACCCAAGTTCTTAAGATTTAAAATAGGGATAGAAATTAGGAATTGAAAAAAAGCAAACCAAAGGCTTAAAGAAATGAGTAGTTTTAACTTATGATGCCATCACCACTGTGAGACTCATGATGGTTTGAGCTTCAAGGTTGTGATTTAATATTAATAACAGTAAAAAGTTTATTATTATATTGGGAAGTGGAAAATACATGGGTTTAACTTTATTTTTTTTTCTTTATTTCAGCAAATTCAGTAAAGCTAGAAATGCAAAGTGATGAGGAATTTGACAGGAAGCCCCTGATTCATGAAGACATTATCAGAGCTCACGATGGAGGAAGCAGCCTGGAAGATCCCTTCATTGGGAGTAACGAGATGGTGGATAACAGAAAGATGCAGGAGCTATCAAGCGAGGGAGGAATCCGGCTTCCCAATGGTAAACTGAAATGTGACGTCTGTGGCATGGTTTGCATTGGGCCCAATGTGCTAATGGTACATAAAAGGAGCCACACTGGTAAGCAGCTGAAAGAAAATCTGTGGCGGTGTTGATGTTACCTGACAACTCTTATCTTTTCCCTTTTCATTCTTGGGGCAGCAGGAGGCTGGGGAGGGGGAAAATGGGCTCCATCGGTTTTGTTTCTCTTCCTGCTTTCCAAACTCTGGTGCTGCTCTCTTGCTGGTGAGCATGGTGCTTCTTTACTTTGATTTCCAGCCTTTTGTTCTTAAAAACAGCGCAAAAGTCTGGAAATTGCTTTTCTTGCTGTTCTTGACTGGAGCACCATGGTGGGGGTCATTCTCTGGCACGGTGGCTCGTGTTGTTCCCCTGTGTGCAGTGCAAAGCTTTTGAGCCTTTAAAGGAGTCTTAGATGTTCTGCCATTGGAGGTGCTCACAGGGGGACAAGACCAGCAGCTTCCTGGGCATCTCACACTTCTTTTGGAAGTGGCTGGGCCTGGGATGAGCAGACCCTGGGGGGGACACTCATTACCCAGCGATCCTGATGCCAGGGTGGGCTTGCTGCTTGTGTGACAGCTCCCTCAGGGAGACCTCAGCTGAGGCACCCACCTGGCTCCCCCTGCCCCACCTCAATGCCATTCTAGAGGCAAATTTCAGTTGCTTGGTCCCTCCCAGCACTTGTATTTTTATTACCATTTGGAGCCCCAAACAGCTTGTCAGGCCTTTGGGTTTGGGAATTTAAGACACTAGGAACCTCTGCAATATGCTGATTGGGTGGGTCTTTGTGGTTTGAAAAACGAGGCCTTGAGCTTAAACTGGGGTATTTTGGGGGATTTGTGGCTAAAATGGTAAAATGGTGTGCCCAGGAAGCTGGTACTCACTCCCCTGTGCTGCCCACTCCTCAGGTGGGAGCAACAGTCACCTCCAAGAGAAGTGTGCAGGTGGTGCCAGAAGATGATGCTCTCTGGTCTTGCAGCAGTCTACCTTTGATTCAAAAAAGCACTTAAGCTTGTGCTTAACTTTTATGAGATTTAAGCACATGTAAGTCACCTGAAGGGCTTCAAGATACGCTTAACTTTGGATACATGCTTAAATCTTATTAAGGTTAAGCACAGGTTTTTGTGGTGGAGCCTCAGCGGGTGTTTGTTGTTTGTATTTTTTGGATATTTTGCTTTTTATCTTTGCTGTTATTTAATGGGGTGAGAGACTCACGCAGTGAAGATATAAAAAGAAAGGTGGAGATCTAGAGTAAGAAAGACTGTGTAATCCCTTTGTAAACCTGGTAGTTTGTAGTCCGGTAGTGTGCCCTTGATGGGCAAGAAATCAATAGAATTTCTGTTCAGAGGAATAATAAATATATATTACATAGTTAATCTCCTGTATATGAGTTGTATTGATAAAAACTTGACCTAAATGTGTAATGCAAAGCGTGGCACTATCGTTTATGGCGCACTCATGATTTTAGACAGGAATTATGAGAGGGGAAAAGCATTAGCTGGACAATCAAAACCTTGATTAACAATTTGACGTGCTCTTACTAGAAGAGGGAAAAAGAAACCAGAATGTACCAGACTGAGTCTCCAGCTTTCAACCTCCCGACAAGTTTTCACTGGCGATTGCACATATCTGAGCATATGTATTGTAGGTGCATCAGGGTCCGTGTATTTGAACTCGAGCAGCTAAACTAGCTGTGCTAAATTTAGATTTAGGTACTTAATTAAATGGTCTGAATTTCTGAGATACTGAATAGCTGGTGCATCTTTTAAAAAACAGACAAGCTGCCTTTTTCATGTGAAAAGAAAGATGTGTAAATTCAAAGCGAAAGAAACAAAATCTCCTCTGCGTGCGGGCGAGACGGCCGTCTGCGGGTGCATGGGCAGCAATTGCATAACTGGTAGCTTTTTCCTTGGGGCTACTGCTGGTTCCTCAGAGAGCTCTGACTCTTTTCCCATCAGAGCAGAGGAGCTGGGATGTGCTGTTCTATACAGATGATTTCAAGCATATAGAAATGGAATTTCTTTTAATGCGCAGCTCGGTGCTCTCTGTTCTCGGTTAACCAGTTGGCAAATTTCGCAGAGGATTTTTTTTTCCCCTCCACTTTGTTTGTTTGTTTTTTAATACATGCTGCTACTTTGCTGTCCACAACAGAAGAAGTTTGCTTGGATTTCCACATCTTGGATTTTGAGGCATATTTTTAACGTACTGCTGGTATCTGTCTTGTAAAGTGCAGTATTTTAAAATATATTGCCACTTCCTCAGCAGTGGGGCGTGATGGGCTGGCCCCAGCTCTGGAATGAGCCCTGACCTGTGGATAGTCTGGTTTTGCAGCCCAAGGGAGAATGGTGGAGAGAAGGGAGGTTGTCCCTAGTGAGTGGAAACAGATGACATTCTTTATCAGCTAATCCAAGTGGCATGTACATCCCTAGCTCTCAAAGCCAACTTAAGCATGTTTTGGGAGCTGAATCCTGCTTTCCTCTCCTCTTTAACTGCACACAACCAGAGCATGATCTGGCCAGTTGTTTGCATTGGCAGAAACTGAAATGCTTTTCCCTTCCCCGAAAACCTGTCAGCATTTTATGTAAGTCACCCAAAATGCTGTGGTTCCAGAGCAGAGGCTGTAATTTGTGTGTGTGCTGGGCTGAGTGCAGCTTTCCCTGCACAGGGGATCGAGCCTTGGCAAGAAGCTGTGCTGTGGGCTCTGGCTGTGCTATGCACAGAAAGGGGCATTTCTCCAGCCATGATTCCTTTGTTCCTGAAGAGCAGTTGTCTTCCCTGCCAGATTACGGTAGTTTAGTCAAATAGATATACAGGCATGGGGAAAATAATCTGTGTTATGGGTGAGGCCAGAGTAGGCGAGCTCAGTGTCCCATCTCGGATCCTGGTGTGCAGTCAGCCCTTCCTGTGATAGCTCAAGCTGGGAATTGCTCATTCATCCCTCAGATTGTGGTCTGGGTGATTCTCTGGGCTGCAGCCCCTCCATCACAGGGCCCATGGCTCTGCTGATTGTGCCAAATACAGCATTTCTCTGAAAACCTGCTAATTGAGGTGAAGTGGTTTTGTACTCTGCCTGGGCACCAGGAGAAGGCCTTTCTATTTATTTGTCACTGCTGACAGAAAATAAATCAAATGCTTGGTGTGGGAATTGAGTGTGATGCAATCCCTGCATTAGTGAGCAGGGTAACCCTCTCCCTCATGTGCCACGTCCTTGTGTCAGAAAAATAACATAAGCTGCATTTATTTCCCTCTTTTCCCATACTGTGTTCTTTTGGTCCAAATTTCATACTCCACAGCACATTCCTCAAGTTGCAGGGTCTCTCTCAGGTTTTTGTTACTGCAGGAGATGACTTGGTCATAGAATATTGGCATTGGATACTCCAGGGATTTGTTCTCTGGGATGGAGAGGGAAGGGAGGAAGGACAAGAGGCAAATAATCCAGGTTTTCTGTGATCGTGAGAAGGAACCTCAGCGTTTTCTCACCTCTTTATGCTTTCTGCTGTGGGCCTGAATTCAAATTTCCTTGCTCTTTGTTTCTGGTAAAACAGGAACCGTATTCTGCTATAGCTGTGCTGATACTTCTGTGCTCTGTGAGGCCCACGTGTTGCTCTCCCTTTTGCTGCCAATTGTGACCCTTTTTTAATTTTTTTTTTTCTCTACTGTAGCATTCAGTCCCTTATCCAGTTCACTGCTAGATTTTGAAATGGTTTTTATTTCTAAGGGAAGGCTGGCATCGTAGAATCATGGAATGGTTTGGGAAGGGACCTGAAAGCTCATCCCATTCCACCCCTGCCTTGGGCAGGGACGCCTTCCACGAGCCCAGGTTGCTCCAAGCCCTGTCCAGCCTGGTCTTGGACACTTCTGGGGACTTGGATTCCACAAATTCTCATCCTCATTGTTTTATGAAGCACAGAGGTTAAATGCTTTCTCTGTGTGGCTGCAGCAGCAGCCCAGTGGCAAAGCCCAGCCTGGGCAGAGGCAGTGGGGATGTCAGCCCTGCCCCTCTCTTACTTTGGGCTGCTGTATGTTGCTTTTAGGCTTTTTTTGGGGTGTTAACTGCAAGATGGTCTCAGATCTTTGCTTGGACTCCACAAGAATTTCCATACCATAAGCCAGTGAAATGAGTTGTGTGCCCATGAGGGGGATGTTCAACCTCTGCTTTAGCACCCTCCATGTAACAACTGAATTTATGAACGCTGGAATTCTGAATGCAATTTAACTTTTCTAACATGCAGAGTTCAAGTTTTTAAGACAGAAGTAATAAATGAGGAAAAAGCCCAGTTGTGTTGTTCTATACAAAAGGCTGGTATGCCTAAGCAGCTAACCAGGAGTGAATATATGAACAAATGGTTCATATAAACACATTTTGATGACTCCACTGGACTGCCTCCCTCATTTTGCTGGCAGAGAGGGGTTTTTTGGTTTAATTTCTAATTTGTAATCTAGTGCAGCCTTCCTGTCTCTTGCAATGTTAAAAGATTTGGTGCTGAATCAAAAATTTTAGGGCTAAATTTCTGAAAGTCCAGTTTTCTACTTAGGTTCTGAAGTCTAACTTTCTGAAAAGTCCTCTCTTTTCCTACTTAAGCATAACAAAGGGGAGCTGAGATTTTTGAAATTGCTCTGGGCAGAAGGATGAATTTTACTTGCAGTTCTCAATAACTAAATTCTTCTGATAGTTTTGCCAAGTTCACTTAAAAGATTTTTCTGTCTTAAGAATGCAGTCATAAATTTGTGCAGAGAACAATTGGAAATCACCCAGGATTTCCCAGGAATTTTTCACGAGAGATTTGTCACTACTGTTTTATAATAAATTGCCCTGTCTGGAAGCAGGTTTTTTCCTAAGAAAACCCCTACTAAAATCACTGATTTCATGTGATGTGCAGGCTGTTGAATGAATCAGATAGAACAGTAAGGAGGTAATTATGGTCCCTGGAATAACAAAGAGAAATGGAGCAAAGTCTGCTGCTCTGTGTCTCGTTTGGGTAAATGCAGGTTGGAGCTGCTGTCACTGCTTTGGGAGCACTGCTGATAATTCCCCTGTGTTCCTGGGACAGAGCAGAGTCACAGCAGTTGCAGCATCTGATGGATTAGGGGAAATGTTTCATTTTAACAAAATGAATATTAACAAAAAGCTTATTGTGGAAGGGTGAAAATTGGTATTGCTAGCAAGAGCAAATACTTTCTGACGGCAGCATGGGCACAGTAATTTTGTGTTAAGAGGCTGGAAAGGAAAAATCCCGTTTGAGAAGTACTTAAGCTGTACTTTGCATATCAAAAGTATCTGCCACACAAAAAAGGTTGAGTTCCCAGATACACATTTAACCAGGAGAGATGTTGAAGCCCCTGTGGACCTGGATTTTATGTAGCAAGACTGCTGCTGCAGGAATTCCCTGACTGTGTTATTGAGAACCAGTGCATTAATTTGTGAGTTTGATTTCAAAGGGACAAATGCAGGAAAATCTAGATCTCCTTGTTTGCCAGGTCTATGCAAACATCCTCAGACAAATTTCTGTTTTAATACAGAAAATCTCTCAGCTTTGCTGCGAAAATATCAGTGTTTTGCACTGGTCTGAGATTCAAAGAAGGTTAACTCATAGTGAAACTCGTGCACAGCACTTCCGTGCCAAGGCGGGAAAGGAGTGCTGTTGTGCAGGGAAGCTTCCAATTAAGCAGAAAAAGGAGTTGGTTTGCTTTGTGAAATAACATTTGACATCTGTGAAATCTATTAGTAGGAAGTTCATCGGTTCATTCGCCTGGTTTCAGGTTGTATCAGCCAGGCAGCTCTCGTAGCTGTGCAGTGAAGTCTCCATCCTGCTGTCAGGTATGAAAGATGCTGTGAGAGAAAGGCCCATCTCCTGCCTGTCCTCTTCAGGGGGCCACTCACCATTTGTCTCAGGATTTGTTTACATGAGAGGAAGTTAACTTGTGCGCTTCAGATACCTGTGTAACTCAAGAGCAGTGATATTTCATTACTGTTACTCGTTATTAGTTTTCCTGGAGGAGACACAGCAGTAATGGATGCATGTTAACAGTGAACTGTGAGGTTTCAGCAGTATATTACTATAACTTAGAGGCAAATATTGAAATAATACCTTTTAATTAATATTTTATTTAAGTGTAAAATGATAAAACTCTATGGATGTATTTATTTATTAATTTAATTATTCCCTGGCACAAGCCCCTCTTACAAAGCCTTTAGGAAAGATAATGCTTGGCAACTCTGGCTTATCTTGCCTTGTCCAATCCTGAACTAACTTAGGTAATTAAATTCCCTCTGCTGGAGAGCAAGGGTTTTTAGGCATTCCTGGTTTTGTCTGGCTTTAGACTCTAAATCTGGAGTTGAAAAGAAACATTTTTTTTATTTGGTTGGCTCTCCCTCCCCCCTTTGCCACTCTGAAAGTCACTGAGTTGGAGGCATTTCTGCACCGGTTTAGCTCAATAATAGAGAAGAGGTTTTACACTTAAAGTAGACGAAAAGTTTTTTGTAGTTACGTTGCAGTCACACAGTTTGCAGTGCTGAAAAGCGCAAAGCTTGCTTAGCTGCCTTTCAGCAGAGTTCTTATTTTATTAAATCAGTGTAAGTACATAGAGTCAAGCAGGAAATACATAGCTGTAAGTGATGGGGAAGCACACCATGCTTATAATTCTCATTATTCTCTTGGAGTCGTGTGTGCTGCCTTTAATAGATCCATAGTTCTGGGTATGTCTGTGTTGCCATCACCCCCCAAAAACACTTAAAGCACAGTCAGGGATCATCATGTAGAGAAAAACTGTGTTTAAAGACTTTTTGTGAGTGGATGTTTAGTTTGAAGTATGATTGATTTCAGCTTATGGATAAAACCTCTGAGTTTTCACAGAAAAGTGAGGGAGGTGAATAAGGATGTCAAGGTTGTTATGTTGTTACTGGTAAGTAATAATTCCAGAGAACAGTTCACAAAACTACCAGGAAAAGGCAGCAGGAGAAATAATTGGAACACAGTCTTCTCAAGGCATTGAACTGATAAAAAAAGGCTTGTTTGCTAGTATCTGGGGTGGGCATCAGACAGCACAATTCTTGGAAAACCAACAGAATCTTCTGGCTATGCAGTCCTTACTGCTCTGTGCACCCTTCTATTGGCTAATGGCCTCTCAGATTAGCTGTGCTAAATGTAAAAGCTGCTAATCAATAGCACGAAGGTGTGACCAAAATTGCATCCCTCAAGCCTGCGGCTTAAACAAGGAGCTGGAATCGAGTGATTGGACAAAAGTGTAACAAACACATCAAAGCAGCTATTTACCCGGAATGGAGCCAGTAGGAGAAATGAATTCAGGCTGCCTTTAAATAGATACAAAGGTTATTTAAGGTAAAGTGTGCTATTGGAGCGGATCTGGCTGTTGCAAGAGAGGAGCAGACTCCGGGTGATTTTGTGGTGAGTGTTTTCATGTCGTCTTTGCCATCAAACTGTGGTGCAGTGGCTATTTGAATTCCTGACTGAAAGCTTTCAGCATCTTTAGAGCAGCCAGATTTTGGGGGAGTAATACCTGCTCATATGTGGCCTCCAAAATGTCAGAGATAAGTGGGTGATGTACTGGGTAAAACGCAGTAGCTGCATAATTTTAAATACAGCAGGAGTAAAAGGAAAGACTTTAGACTTGGTAAGAAACGTGCTACCTTCTTTCATGTTGTCATCCTGAAACTGAAGCAATCATTCCAGAATACTCAGAAATGTGTCAAAGGAAAGGGTTTTGCCTGTTTTCTCAGACAGTGAAAGCAAAACAGAAAAGAAAAAAAAAGAAAAACCCCATGTATTTTTCTACTGCAGTCTCTTTACAGATCTGTGTTATGGACATTTTGAAATGATGTAAAAGAAGATAATGGCTAATCAGATCATTTAAGTATAGTGTGGGAGTTTGAAAGGGAAACCACAAACTCTTTATCAATTCTAATGAGCTTGTGTTCAGAGTATTGGAAGAAGAGCTTTATGCTGTGATTTTTTTTATTATTATTACTCCATAATGTTCTCAGTGAGACTGTAGGAACCTTAGTATCTCCTTGAGTACCTCTGTGGCGGCCTCAGATGTGATTTCCATCTCCCACATGTGAAATAAAGTTGCAGAGTCTGGCATATGCGTGGCACACCTTGTGCTGCCCTCCTGGCAGCATCATAGTCCTGGCAGCGATTTAATCCACTGACACAAGAATTGCTTGTGGACATCGGTAAGAGCTCTCTCCCTCCCTCTCCTTCCATGTGAATCTCCAGATGTGTTTTGGACTTCACCCTAGACAGACACCTGAACTACTTTGATACACAGGCAGCATTCATTTTGTCCAGCGAGGGAGTAATTGTTTTAAAGCAATTGTAAAAGAGAGATCACAGAATGTGTTTGTTTTTACAAGGTCTGTGCTTCAGGCCACTGAATTCAAACTCAGAAGGTCCCAGGCCAAGAGTCTGTAATAGGTGATAAATGTGGAATTTGATGATCAAGACCTTGTTGAGCTGAGGCCCTGCTTGGTGTAGACATTGGGAAATGCTTTAAATTGGAAGAGGGTAGATTTAAATCAGGTGTATATGGAATAAATTCTTCCCTATAAGGGGGTGAGGCCCTGGCACAGGTTGCTCAGAGGAGCTGTGGCTGTCCCATCCTGCAAGTGTCCAAGGCCAGGCTGGGGGGGATTTGGAGCAATCTGGGATGGTGGAAAGTGTCCCTGGCCATGGCAGGGGGTGGAGCTGGATGGGCTTTAAGGTCCCTTCCAACCCAAAGCATTCTGGAATTCTGTGCTGTAAAGTCCAGTTGCAGTAAGGCCCTTAGATAAGTGACTAGCACAACTGTATGCTTGTGTTCAATTGATCTGCTCAGCAGGACATAAGCAGGAGATTAGAGCTGACTGCCTGTGCAAGACTGCTGGAACAGTCTCACTGTCCTCAACAAGTGTTGGTAGAGTATGGTTTTGATCATGTTCCAGAAAGCCTGTGTGAGTTCATCAGGGGTTTTCCCCTAAATAATATTTTTTTTTAAAAAATGGTGGATTTTTTTAATGGACCCAATCTCCACTGTCTAAGGAAAGTATGAAGGCTTAACATAAAAATAAGCTTTGGATGTATGTGTGAGTGTGTGTGAAGACATGGGATGAAGCGATAGAGTAAGGTCTGGGGTTTCTGTTAGTTTTTCATCAAATCAGTCTTGTTAATTTGTTTTGTGTAGAGTGCAAATTTGCTTGCTTTACAGTTTAATGGTATAAGATTTTTCTACACTTGCAGTACTGCCCAGAGCTTGCAACCCTGATCCTCACTTGCCCTCCATGTCACTCTAGCAACGCAAAGCAGCCTTTAGAAAGGGCTATCAGTTAAAGTATAAGGCAAGCAGAAGGTTTGGTTTGAACCAAAGACCTTAACACCTTTGCTGAGGTCCCGTTGTTATGATCAGTTCTGAATACTCATATGGATTGGACCTATTCTAAATATAAGTGCAAAACCACAGCTATGGATCTAAATTTTCAGCAGAGCTCATCTTTTATGAAGGATAGAAGCTCTGAGGTGAAGAACTTTCAAGAAAACCAGGAAGCATTGATCACCTCAAGGAAAGAGCCTCAAATCACTATTGGAGGCTTTGCCCATTGTGCAAAAGAAACGGCCTCTGACTTTAGCAGTGCCGTGCGATGGTGGTGGTGGGGACTGTACCCATGTGCAGTGGCACTGGTACAGAGTGGGAAAGTGGCCTCTGTGCATCCTCCGATGTGTGTTGACAGCTCTCTCCCTTCCCCTTCCCTTCCAGGTGAACGCCCCTTCCACTGTAACCAATGTGGAGCTTCTTTTACCCAGAAGGGGAACCTGCTGAGGCACATCAAGTTGCACTCTGGGGAGAAACCGTTCAAATGTCCCTTCTGTAGCTACGCCTGCCGGCGGAGGGACGCCCTCACAGGACACCTCAGGACACACTCTGGTGAGCCCACCTCGGCTTCTCCTCACACCTCTTCCTTCCTTTATCACTACCGTCCCAGTGCAGCAGCAGGTAGTGAGAATAAAGCGTAGCTCTGGCTCTGTACCGTCCTCTTCAGAGAGTGCAGCTCTCAGCTTTGGGAAAGCCTTGATGTGAATCAGAAAAGTTGTGGTTCAGCCACACCTCTCCTTTTGTGTAACTGAGCTCCTCTGCTGATGCTATCGCATTTCCCTCTCAGTGTCTCCTTGGGTGTATCCCGGCTTCGCTGGCAGATTGTTTTGACATTCTGGGGCCCAAAGTGGCTGTGAAATTCCAGAGATCACAAAGAATAACTGTGGGCTCTTGGAAGCCGGCTTTGCAGTTCATACCCATTTCTTCATCTAATAAATGCCATATGCTGGTTGAGTTCAAACTTGTTCATCTTTCAAAGCCCTCTAAATTGCATTTTTGATTCAGTTAGATCTTGCTGTAAAGTCTCCTAGCTCATGGCACCCTAGAGCTGAAGGTGGTCAAGAGAGACTGGGTTTCTGTTTCTTTAAATGAGAGGATCATGTCTGTATCAATTCTACTTGATATAGTTTCTTGATAAGTTGATGAGAAATACCTGTCTCATAGTTGTGTGGTGTTGGAGCCCAGCAGTCAGGGTCAGCTGTGGTTTTAGTCCCTCTCCCTGCACCAGGGGCTGCATTCTGCTCACTCACTCATCTGTGCAGGACTCCTGAGTAAGATCTTAACTTATCTCCTGAATGGTCAATCTGTGTGTTTGGGCCATTTGTAAGAGGCTGTGTGTTTAATTGTTGAATGAGCAGAGATAATTGGACTAATTGCAAGTGGCAGCATTAGGAATAAACGTCTTTGGGGTGTTAGCAAATGTGTGACTACTGAAATACAGTGGTGCAAGTGCAACTGCAGGCAGAAATCCTGCATGAGTTTCCTGACCCTCTATCTGTATTTCTTCTCTAGAGTCAATCTCACTTCTGCAGGTGTTTCTGTTTCAGGAGCATTGAATTGGTCTTAGGATACAGAGTTACTTTGGCATTTCCAAGAATAGGAAAGGGTGAGCTAGTAAACTTCTTCAAGCAGATTTGGGAGCATGCAGGATGCTGCATTGATGGCAAATGCTGAAAGAAAGCTTTGAACTTCCAAGGGAGTACAAGAGTTGGGACTAGGCTGTGAGAGAAATGCTTGAGCTGGATTTGATCTGAAGGTCAGTAGGGGAAAATGTCTGTGGAACTGTGAGCTGCAGTTTTCACACATCTGACTATAACTGCAGTTTCAACTGGAAATTTAAAAAGAAAACAGACCACAATGCAAATGTTCACAATTAAAACAAAAAGGGAGTTGTGACAAAAACATATCCCTTATTACCAAACACAAACATTGCATTTGAAGACCTTCTTACAACATGAATATAGATTTTGTTACCTAGATACTGCCATTGACAGAGATTGTTCTTCCTGTGTGAAGAACACGTGGCTGACGGTTCTGTGTTTTGCGTGAGGATGGAATGTCAAGGTGTGGGATTTTCAGAAGGCACCTAAGCTGCTTAGCACGAGTTCCCCTGGAGCTCCTTCCCTAACTGACTTAGCAGCGCTCAGCTCTGCTCAGTTTGTAATTTTAGGCTTTGTTTTCAGTGGAGAAAGTGTCACTCACATCCAGCAGCTTTCAGCACAGGGCCAGCAGGAACAGACAAATGCTCCCACAATACTCTCCAAGGCATTTCTTAGCATTCACAGGTGAAGAGTTAAAACCTGGATTATTACCCTAAAACCTGCTATCCCCCTGCACAAAGGTGAAATGCCACTCTGGCCATGGAAGTTAAGATCTGTCCCTGCCATGTAAGTAGGCTGGGTTGGTTTATGCACACCTGGATCATGGAGAAGATGGGTGGATGTCCCCAAGGGACTTTAAACAGTTTGATATCAGTGTGCTGTACAAGCATGCTGTGCTTTCATAAAGTACACATCAAAGTCTCCAAGTAGGCCTGGAAGGTGGAGCAGATCCAGCAGCTGTAGGGAAGGTCTTTTCCAACCCAAATAATTCTATGATTCTGTCAATGTTTGCATCTTCTGCTATTTCTGACCAGAAAAGAAAATATTGGATAAAATACAGAAAAAGAGGTTGAAAACTGTTTTGAAATAGAAGACTTCAAGCCAGTTTCAATGTGGTACAGTACACCTAGTGTCTAAATTGAGGTGAGTCTGAATATATTTTTGTAAGAGGAAAGCTCTTCAGATCAGATCCTCAGCTGATGGAGATTGGAATTACATCCTCTAAGTAAGGAAAGTACTCCTGTTTTGCACCAGCTGTGAATCTGGTGCACAATTTCATAAATGCAACACCAATTCCCTTTTTTTGAATATTCTTTGGATATTCTCTGAAAATTTTTGTATATTCTTTTCCTACTTAAATAAGAGTTCTATTAATAAAAAAAAATATAAAGTAAAATACCCAAGCAAAACCCCTTAATCTTTTCTCCTTCCCAAGAAGGTTTAAACTACTATGGAAGGCAAATTATCCTATAAAGGAATTGAAGAATTCTGTCTTATCTCTTTTTTTTTTTCCCCTCTCAGTTAGTTTAACTTGTGGATTTCAGAGCACTTTGCTTGTGTCACCACTTAGTCAGTGAAATCTTTTCACTGCTGCTTTTTAGTCAGTTCTTCCTGTGCTTAGTGAAGTTTTCATACAGGACAACAGGAAAGGGAAAAAAATAAGGAAATGTAGATGCAAACAGAAATTAGCAGAAGCATCTCTGATTTATCTCAAAGACCTGACACTTACTAGTAACTTAAAAATAATTACTTTTTTTTCCTTTGGACTGGTGTTTGTTCATGCTTTTTAATGTTATTTCCTGTTAGTTTGAAAATGTTTCTAAGCATCACAATCTACATTTTGCCTCCTCTTCTTGTGCAGAATCTTATCTTACTGTGTAAGTGTTCCCAGGCCGAGTGGTTAACAAAATATTGCTTCTCATCTGTAATGCTGCTACTGCTGTTTAGCCCTAAATAATTAAGGACTTATCTTGCAGTGATTTACTCCTGCAGTTATTTACCTTTTAGGGACATAGACAGTTCTGATGAACTTTATGTCTGTATTTTCCTCCCACATGCAGCTGCTTTGGTTTCAGGAATATAATGATGCCTTCAGGACATCAGTAGGATAATGCCTGGGGAGAGATTCATGCTCAGAATTACACTAAGAGTGGGCATGTACCTCAAGGTACTTACAGGACTTTCAGGTGCTGTTTTCTGAATTAACTCCACAGTTCCACAACCCAGATAATATAAGAGAGGTGCCAGAGAGGGCTTCCAGGATGGCAATGTAAGGCTGTGGAGTGCTGGAGCAGCAGTTGGTAGCCCCTTCCTGCAGGATGCACTGGACAAATCAGCAGGAATTGGCTTCACCTTGCCTGGCTTTTGCTGTTTTAAGGGGAAAAACATCCAGACAAAGCCAATCTGCTGATGGCATTCACAAAGCACCTTTTGTCTCACCCTGAGACATGCCCGTCTTCTCCATCCCCGCTGGAATTGCACAACAAAACAATGGCAAAGACAAAAATGAGCAAACCCCAGAAGTTTTAAGGAAGGCAGCAGAATCTGACAGGTCAATCTGATGGTTAAAGCCATCCAGCTGTTGGCCTCCATACTTTGAAAGGTAGGACAGTTTTACCCCAAAATGTTGATGCTGTTTTACCCCAAAATGCCAGGCATCCTCAGGTGGGCACACAAACTTAGCAGTTAGGTTTTGGCATGGATTCCACTTGTGTCTAAAATGGAGCTGAGTCAGCCCTCCCCTCATAATGCTATTGCAAACATAAATGTTCTGACAGTGCTTGGAAAAGTCAAGGCTGCAGTGATGAGCAATGTGGAAGAGCCCATAGCAAACACAGGCACCTCAGTTTGCAGAGCAGGACTTGGGCAGTGAGTCAGAAATGAGGGATGGGATCACTTGCTCAGGAGAAAACAAAACTCAGAATAGGTTTTGGCTAAGTGAGCATCATCCATCCGTTGCACTAAGTAAGGATGGTCCTGTGTGCCAGTTGTTTAGTGCTTAAAAGGCTGTCTCATCATGTGTCCACACAAACTGTCCACATGGACATTCATTCTGGAATTTCCTGATTTTTCTTTTTACTTGGCAGCTTCAGTCATGTTCATTGCTGGGGAGTATGTAAGTGTTATTCATATATGAAAGCAGTTTTACTGTCTGTTTCTTCCTTAAAAAATGGGTACTCAGATTATGATTTTTTCATAGAAGATTGTCCTCACAATACATTTGAAAATTTGCTTTGAAGGTTCTGCTTTCCTGCCTAGAAAGTGTCCCCTCCAAAAAAAAAAAAAGCAATTTTTTTGCTTTTAAGAAATATTTTTCTTCCCACTCTTCCTCCTGCATTGCTGCTACATGTTGTTTATTTCTGCCCAGCTCTCCAATAGCACTGCACTAATGGTTCCCCTTTATTTGCAAAAGAAAAGCAGAAAGCCTTTGTTTTGAAAAGAAAGGCTTGGGCAAAAACTCTCAAAAAGCACAATCTTAGCAAACCATGTACAGTGTGCAGGATGAAAGGCACCTATAATTAAAAAGGAAAATGCCCTGTTCATGGAAACTCCTTCCATATTTATTGGTTGGCAAATCCATCTTTCTCATGTCTTGTCCATGAGGATTTTCCTTTCAGCCCTCCCAGGTGTGCCCACACCCCTGGAGCCGGATGGCACACTTGAGGTAGAAGGATCCTGTTTCCCAATCCTGATGACACACCTGCCTCAATGCATGTTTGGGAGAGCCCCACTTCTGAGCAGCTTATTTTGGCTGAAAAATTGGATGAACAAATGCTGGAATACACAGTGCTGTCCATGAGTTCCCAGCTGTGAAAAGCCACTGAGAATTACTGAAACAGTGGCAAGGATGGTTATTAAGAATAATGAAGTCAGTGTTTTAAACTGCTCTTTTTCATCTTGAGGGAACTTTTGCCACTATTAACATCTCCACTCTAAAAAGGCCCAGTATCT